AGACACTGAATTGTATTACATAATTTTTTTCACATTCAACAAAGCAGGTATCTTAATGTATCAGAGGTCTAGAAATAATTTCCAGCTCCTGCAAATACAAGACAGAATTTTTAGATATCCATAGTTTTAACCTGGCTTACAAAACTAAAATGGAACCCATTAAATTTTTTTACAGCATTGCCAAAAATCCAGGAATTGGGATACTGACGCTAACTGCTAACAGTCATTGAAGTATTTCACTTTTCGCTTCAGGTGTAAATTTTCAGTTATACTTTTGCATTGAAAGATATTATGGAAAAGTCTCAGACAAATCCTTAGATGTAAAATATTGCATAGTTAGAGACAATTTCTAACCGTAAAGAAACTAAAAATTATCAAAATTTCCAATCAATTTACACAAAACCTAGAGAGAATTTGAGTTTCTGAACCTCTTAACAACTTCACTTGTTAGGGGATTCAAAATGTTGTATCATGTAAAAACCGTGATACAGAAATTCTTAAGATATTTAAGTCTCTATCATGAAATTATTGACAGAGTAGTTCATCATATGCAAGTGAAATTCGAAGCTCTAAAAGAACTGCAGTCTTTTTAACTAGTTGATCCCAAAAAAATCTTCTTACTTCCAGATAACTAACTTTTATTGCTTAAATCAAGCAATCACAATCTCTTTAATTTTCCTAACTTACAAAATAAATTGACAGCAATTTACACATTATCAGATTTCTCAAGCAAATCGATGACAGAAATCACAGATTCTTAAGAAATTGACTTGGAAGATGAAGTGTTTCTAGAAACTCTGTAGTCTAATATTAGCAATACTAGTCCACAGTAGAAATCCTTTCATGTTTACAATTAATAAAATCTGCCATTCATAATATTCAATGTAAAGACAGGCTTTTCCACTTTCATTAATGCCTGTTTAAAAAGGCTTACTTGATGAACCACAAAACCTCAGATTTTTATGTTGAATTCATTGAAAAATTTCTTTAAAAAAAAGGTGACAGATGAACCGCACTTCATACAAATATGAAGGTTAGCCGTTATTATTAAACCTGCACTAATCTTATGAATAATTTTTACAATCTCTCTGATTTTCACATAATATTTTACATAGTGTAATTAAAACATCTTAAAAGTTTTCTACTGAAATGCATAATGGAAATTCTTCTTAGTGCAAAGGCAGAAGCTTTCACACAAGGTTTTATTTTTTTAGGGAAAAGGTAACTGTAATCTTCACTCTTATTCAGTGCCACATGGAAATAAAAATAAATGTAGCCATAAAGTTTTACTCTTGTTTAAATAATAATTACAGCATCAAACCTTTTAGCCAAATTTCAGAATTATTGAATCTATAATAGGAAAATGCATGAGGCTGTTGATTGAAAAGAAAATATGTGTACATAAATTATTTTTTAAAAGAAACTGTCTTTTCTTCCCTTTACACTTCATAAAAACAAAGAATTTTACATTAGCATTTTATGTACACTGCACAAAAAAAGGAGGGACATTCGTTCTATATCTCCCATTCTACAAGTCTGATTGATGAAATTAAAATTGTGTTTTTGATGTCTTGAAAGCGCGACTTAGGATATATATTAGATTTATATATAGCTTTGTTCTAACATATGTATTTTGACACAAAATCGGAGTTTTTCTGAAATAACATCGCAATTTTTTTCCATGTTTTGATTCTACGATTCATTATGCCTAGATATTAAATTTTGTAATTTTGGGTGAAAAATTTTAAAATTTACTTTGGCAAATTTTTTTTAGTTTGCGCCAAGAAAAATTCACTTAATGAACTTCTTAATTCAAAGCAATCTATTTTCCTTTCCTTTTTCTTAATTGTCCTGCAAGCGGAAAAAGAGTCATCATTTATACTTTCCAATAATTTTAACAAAGTGCATAAGCCACATTTCTGTTATTATCACTTATAAGTATGAAAAATTTCAAAACAGGCTAAAGTGTTGCAGGTATGCTTAGAAATACATCTACTTTAAGAGGATGGCAAAACTTTTATAGGTTATAATTCAAAATTTTTTTCAAAAAATTTATACAAATTATTTAAAAAAACAAATTTTAAAAATAAATCATAAATAGGCAAATTTTATTTGGAATGAACATAAATTTCGAAATATGAAAGGATGAATCAAATAAGTTTAATAAAAAAAGAGATATTAATAAATATATATCAAATTCAATTAACATTAAAAAGCTAAAATTGTAAGAAATAATTTTTTAAAAACTACTCATGCCATTTTTACAAAACTTGGCAGTTTGGCATAATTTGAGATGTAGAATCAAAATATGGAAAAAAAATTGGAATGTTATTTCAGAAAAAGTCCAATTTTGTATCAAAATACCTGTATTAGAACAATGCTATATATAAATCTAATACATATCCTAAGTCGCACTTTCGAGACATGCAAGTTTAATTTCGTCAATTGCCCACTATAATGGGAGATATAAAATGTCCCCTTTTTTCTTTTCTTTCTTTCTTTTTTTTTTTTTTTTTTTTTTTTTTTTTGTGTTGTGTGTGTGTGTGTGTGTGTACAGTATACATGTCCTTTAGCATATTATATATTATTACTCTTGTTGCTTTACTTATTTATAGCATTTTCTTATACTTAGTCACCTTTGATGAAAACCACAGCACATTATTGGCTTCTAACTATAAAATAGCACTATAGAACAGTAGGGTTCTGCTCATAACAAAATCTAACTTTTTATACAGTCTCACACAGCTAAAACTCCTTACGTGTGTGTATGTATGCATAACAATTTTCCAAAGAATACAGAATCTCGTAAGGGAATTATAAAATTACCATGAGACAAAATGTGTATTGTCTGGAGAACAATCGATGTGCAAAACCCAAGATCCATGTCCAGATAAAGTTCCAATGAGATTCGCATGTTGTCTATTAAGAAAAAAATATTTCGAGCATGATTACATTTATATAAAATTATGCAAAATCATGCTATAATATATATATAAACATTTTGCATTATAAATTTTTAAAAAATTTCTTTGATAAATTATTTTTAATTGATTTTTTAATGTTTTAAATTGTAAAAACTACAAAAATTTATATACAAATGTTTCTTAATTAATATTTCCGTACTCTATCAATACAGAACAATACTGCATTCAGACAGATTTCAGAAAATTTTATACTTAACTACAACAACAGTAATAATTATTTTACAGAAATAACTTAAATGATAGTTCCATTTTAATGGGAAGAATTTAAGAAAATGAAAAGGTCAAAGTTTCTCTTTGACAAAATTACTTAAGTCACAATAACCAAGTAGAAGCAAAAATAATATCGACTTCATTCAAACAGCAATAATATTATATATTTTACTATCAGTTTAGCAACTGTATGTCAAGCATATGAGATGTTTTTTCCCTTCATTATTACCAGAGTTTTCAATCTCAATTTACTGTTTATAAAAATTTTAAATGACCTGATGAATTCTCTAGTGGATAAAGGTTAATAAATGCACTTTGATTTTGGTAAAAACCTATCTGATATACTTAACAATATAATAAAATATACATAAATAAATAAAAGTGTAAAAATAAAAAGTGTTTACACTCAGATTTAATTTTTTGTAACTAAATTTTTCTTTCATAATATGCTAACCATATTTTTCTTGAATTTTTGCATCAGATATGAAAATAAATAAAAGTACACGGCAATACACAAAAACACTTGATGTGAACACATACACAAATCCCTCCCCCCAAATTTAAATCTAACATAAAGGCAAGTATTAAATAAAATATTTTTTTCATAAAATATAGAAGAAGTGAAAAGGCAGATAGCAGCTGTAAGGTTATTACAACTAACACATTACTTCTTATGTTATATCTGTCCTTTTCATCTTTTTGTTCTATCACAATCACGAAAAATACTGTAACTTAAGTTAATTTGAAATTGTGAACAGAAGCGTAATTTAAGAAGAAAGTTTAGGAACTCAGCTAAGGGTAATTCACTCATCCGATCAGCTCACTTCCACTGAATTTCTTTGGATTTTGTTAATATTAAATTTTATTGTTTTTTCATAACTATGAGCTGGTCGACATTGTATTTACTACCGATTCTGTATATATTTAAGACTGCTTGTAATTTCAGCCCATAAGGACTGATAGATAGTTAACACCTAAAATGTTAACTTTTCAGTTGTAACTAGTTCACAGTGAGTGAACTTTTAATTTTAATTTTAATTTTATTATTGCTGTACTTTACACTTTACGTTATAGACAAAGATGACAAATCCCCTGCAACCTAGAAAAATTAGATAAGCCTTTAACTTAAGCATAAAATTACGTTTAACTTTAAACAGCATTTATAATAAATTTCAATCATTATCAAGTTTTAAACTACCATTCACTTACTTACAGCACAGCATTTAGATCCCATTCCATACTTTAGGTACAATTAGATAAGAAGGGATGTATCAGATTGTTTTATAAATAGAAATACACAGTTATTACAAATAGGCAACTTTATTTTTTGCTATAGAAGGTAGTTAACCCATTCAGGACCAGCGTCGCATATACAAGGCGCAACAATTCCACTCTTAACAGCCCAGCATCGCATATATGCAAAAAGCTCCAATCAATCTCTACAGTCCATATACGTAACTTGAAAATGGAATGATTGTTTTGAATTTTTAAATGCCAGTAGATGGTGCTAAATGGTAACTGTTTTCACATCGGTTAAGTCATGTGGCTTTTGACCTTCATGTATGAGCATCAGTTTCTATTCTGTGCTTCTGGTTTTGATAGATTTATTGATGTAAACAAACTGGGAATCACAGTTTTATAAGTTAAAGGGATATCGGCGTGTTTGTTTATTTCATTAGGAATTTCTTTTTACGTCGTCTTCGTTCTTATTCTGTGCATTTTTGGTTATTAGAATACAGGAAAAAGCATCAAGCTTTATTTTTTTTTTGTTTGTTTTTTGTTTTGTTTTGTTTTTGTTTTGTTAGGAAAATGTGGGAAAATGCATCTAGCTGACTATAGCAGGTGTAATGTGGCCTAACTTCAGTGATGGGAAAACTCATACCAGTTGCCTTTTTTTATATATATTAAGACTTAACATAGACTTTTGTGGTTAGTTAAAAAGTAACATTGCAGCATTATAACAGAAGGAGAAAGATTTCAGCTTATTGGATGTGTGATGCATCTTACTGGCTCTGCGAAAAATGCCATTTTCCTGCGTGTCAATTCTTGTTTTGAATTATTTGACACACAGCAGAATTATTAAATTGGAATTTAATTACCTAGAGATAATTATTGCTTAATTTTCTTTTACATTTCATATTTGTAATTTTAGTGTAAGTATTTGTTTTCAGGCTTATAGTTATAATTTTAGTATTTTGCATGTTTCATTTATTTCTATTAATGTGATATTCTTTATATTAATACATATTGTGGCAGTCTGATGTTCGACTGCGTGTGCAGCCAAACCACCACATGTGGTTTACGTAAAAACTGCTAGAGCGGCAATGAACTTGCCCACTTCACCCTTAGCTCGAACATAGGATGTACGAATTTTAGTTTAGCAGTTTTCTGTTATGATAGTTTTGTTTAAAATTATGGTGTGTGTGAATAAAAGTTATGTTTAGCGAAACGGAGTCATGTCTTTTAAGGATACACACCAAGTCATAACCTCCACTCAGCATAAAATGGCGACCCAGTTATTCGCATAAAGCTGCATTCTGGTTGTTCGTTCAAGAGCTTGGTTCCAAGCTCAAACCCAAAAATTCCAACTACTTTGAAAAAATTCCAAATACTTTGAAAACACTTGCTGTGAACACGTACACAAATCCCAACTACTTTGAAATTTTTGGCTTTTCATGTATCTGAACAGGGTTTAAAATCTTTACCTGACAGGGTAGAAGCCATTCAAAAATTTCCGAAAACAAACACATAATTTCAGTTAAGAAAATTTCTCGGCATATTCAACTTTTACAGACGTTTTGTCCCAACAGCTTCATTTGTTTTAGCTCCCTTGAATAGGTTATTGGAAGGCTGCATTAATAAAAGGAAATCTTCACAACCAAGCAAAACAAAAGAATATCCTCTAAAATGAAACGACAAAGCTGAGAAAGCATTCGAAAATGCAAAAAAGGCAATTGCTAAAGCAACCCTTCTCAGACACCCGATTCCTGGTGCAACCTTGAAACTTTGTACTGATGCATCAGACGTAGCAGTTGTTAGCGCATTAATGCAATTGCATAATTCAGTTTGGAAACCCATTGCATTTTTATCCTTTAAACTCAGAAAAAGGTCAAAGGAAATGGTCAACTTATGATCGAGAACAATTGGCTATTTATTTGTCTATTAGGAAGTTTCGGCACATGCTTGAAGGCAGGGCCTTTACAATCTACACTGACCAAAAGCCTTTAATATATGCTTTTAAGCAGAAGCCCGAAGAGTGTTCTCCATGACAACTTCGTCATCTTGATTTTATAGGCCAATTTTCCATTGACATACTAGTTGCCTTGAACTAAAAAGCATCAGCTTTGTATATAACTTTATTGCTATTCTAAAGATGAAATATTAAAGAGAAAAATTGCCTGCAGCGCTGCGGCTAAGAACGCTATTCTGCTGAAACATAACATGAACAACTGTTTGCCACTCACACAATTATAAAAAACTTGCCCCAGTAAAAGATTATTGCAAAAATCATACATAAATTAAGCAGTGAGGAAATAAATATACAAAGAAAAAAAGAAATGCAAATTTAAATATGCATCCACACATACAATACATCAAAGGTCATGACAAATCGTTGCTGTGCCTTATCTAGGGTTGAAATAGATGCAGTATCTGATAATCAGCACATTGATTATAAAAATTATCCGAAGTGCAAATTCAGGACTCTGAAATTCAAAATTCTTTATCTCATCTTAACCGTTTTTAACTAGAACATTATTTTCCTTTAGAAGATGTTACTTTTATTGCAATATGGACACAGGTATACCTCGCCCGTTCGACATGAATCTTTTTCGCTCTAAATTTTTCAGTAGATTCCTGTTTTCTCATGCTGGATTCAACTTCACAAAACTAATTACTAAGCCTATTTTTGGCCTAATATAAGAAATTTATTAAACCTGCAGTTCAATCATGTTTTCAGTGCCAACGTAACAGACATTCGAAATCCTGTTGGATACCCCTTTTCCTTGCCTGCTGCAAGATTTGCACTTCCATATTGATTTCATAGGTCCTCTTGCCCATCGAGGTACTGTTATTGGCAGACAATTATTGACATTTACCAGATGGCGAAGTCATACCTACTGCTGACATGTCAGCTCAAATGACTTGCAAAGTGTTGTGTAAATTGGATAGGTAGATTTGGCTGCCCGTATCTATAACAACGAGCAAGGCCGAAATTTTATCTTATTTACAGATTTAAAAGATTTTGGGTACCATCACATTAAACTCTCTTACCATCCTCATCCAATGGCTGATGAGAGATTTTCTAGGCACTTAAAGTTCAATAATGGCTCATAGCAACACAAAATGGACTGAAATTCTGCCTACAGTTCTGTTGGGTATCAGATCTACCATTAAGAATGATATAAATGCTACTTGTTCAGAACTTGTTTATGGTACCACTCTTCGATTACCCTCAGATATGCTGAATACTACTAATTTCGTATAGCCTTCTGAATCTTACGTGACAGAGCTTCGATCAGTCATGCATTTAGTTAGACCGATTCCACCTCTACGCACGTTCAACCTTCAATTTATGTACAAATGGCACTTCAAGCCTGTTCTCATGTATTTCTGTGTATCGATTCTGTTAAACTGCCACTAACTCCAGCTTACACTGGTCCTCATACCGTGGTTAAACGAATGGACACAAATTTTATTATTGAGGTAAATAACAAAAAGATTACAGTTTCAATCGATCGTTTGAAACCAGCATATATGTTGTCAGAATGTATAGATTCACCTGTAATTCCTCAGTTTCCACAGGAAGTCTACGAAGACTAAAAACTTTTTCGAAAAAAGAAGTTCCCTGCAGTGGACGTCATTGTTCATTTTCCTGAAAAACTAATCACTGTAATATGATTAAAGTTTTCTCTTGTGGTTTGCTGCAAATGTCATAGTGCATAAATACTTAATTAAGAATGGCCATCATGATCCTTTTTTTTTTTTTTTTTTTTTTTTTTTTTGCATAAGTATTGAGAGTTACATAAAATGCTTATTAACTTTTCATTATTTCTGTTTAACTGAGTTATGCATTGTATGGGTATATATTTCAATCAGAATTTAAGTGTATTATTACTATTTATATATTTTGTATTTCTTCTTTTTGTACATGCATTTTAAAGTGTAACTGTCATTCAAATGTGTATATCTTAAACTGGAAATTTACAGCTAACCCCCTTTGCGTCGTGACTGTGTCACTGGGGGAATACTCTGTGGCAGTCTGATGTTCGACTGCGTGCACAGCCAATCCACATCATGTCGTTTACGTAAAAACTGCTAGCGCGGCAGTGAACTTGTCCACTTCCCCCTTAACTTGAGCATAGTATGTGCGAATTTTAGTTTAGTAGTTTTCTGTTATGTTATGATAGTTGTGTTTAAAATTATGGTGTGTGTGAATAAAAGTTATGTTTAACGAAAGAGTCATGTCTTTTAAGGATACACACCAAGTCATAACCTCCACTCACCATAATATTTATAACTAGTAGATTACATACGTAACTTCAAAAATTGAGGTCATTATATTAAAAATGCTGATTATATATATATACATATTGCAAAAACAGGCTTAACCGCTGAAAATGTGTGGGCCAGTGACGGCATTCCATTTCAGGGGGTTTGGTCCCGTGGTTGTGCTTCGTTCTCTGCACACTGGTCTCCAAGGGGTTAAACATGATGGATAGCTTTCAGCAAGTATGCATGAATCTTCTCATGGCCACAGGCAGGGCTGTGGAGTCGGAATCGGAGTCGGGCAGATTTTGCTGTAAAAGGAGTTGCAGCTGGAGTCACTAAAAATAGGTTGAATCCACATCCAGTTTTTGTTGGACAGTTTGAATTAGAAATGAAATTAAAATGAATTGAAAACAAATTAATGACAAGCTGAGTTATTATTTTTATTTATGGACTATATACATTAATAAATATTTATTTTCTATTTTATTGACATATTAATAAATAAAAATAAGGGAGGAGGATGGATACGATATTTGCCATTAGTGATTAAAATCATTCATTTGGTTACAAACCTCACTGGTAAATTTAGGTACGCAGCAATAGCAACAAGAACTCCCAAAACTGATGCATTCTCACGAAGTGAGCAGGAAAAGGAGCAATTATTGATCAAACAATGCGATAAGGAAGTACATATTTGATGATAAAGAGGTTGTTAGAATTAAGAACTTTTTTAGAAAATGTAGATAACCCTAAAGTTTCACTAACAGAAAGACTGTGGAATGATTTTGCAGAATTGGAAACTCTTCTTTCTACACAGTATATAGCCATAAAAAAGCTGCTATCTGAAGACATGACAGGAGGTGAGAATGGAAGAATGTGATGTTTGTTCTTTCTGAAATGGAGGGCTTATTGCTGAAGGAATCATTTCTTCAATAAACCAAAGGGAAACTAGTTTGCTGGACAATGAGATCTTGCTGGGTTCAATATATGTATATCCGAAACACCGAATTTTCTTGGATGACAAACAAATTAAAAAGGCAAAGAAAGCCATCTATGAACTTTCATTAAGAATGAAATTACTCTCAGAACAATTGGAGAATTCGAATGACAGTCAAACTGCAGACATTGCATTTGAGTCTCTATCATCCTCTTCCAGTGACGAATTAGATTTTTAGAAATATTTTTGGATAATATTGAAAAGGCTAAGGCAAAATGAATGAAAATAAAAAAAACAAAAGATTTTCGTTTGTAATATAACAATACAGCAGAAGCAAAGCTACATGGAAATCATGAAATCTGCTAGGCAGAGATGCTGATCCTGACTTTCTGAGTATCGTAACAATTGGTGGTAAGTCACCGGTTTATGATTACTACTAGAAACTATACTGTGGCTATCAAAGTAAAAATATTCATTGTCTTTAAATTAAAAAAAAAAAAAAATAAGGTGCATAAAAGATGCATAAGTAAATTTATATTTACAGTGTTCTCTGATTCTGATGCGATAGTCTCTCATGTTTATGCAATGCAAGGCTAAAATATTCAAAAGAGCACTTTGTGATGTTAGATAACATAAAAGACTGGACAAGACAGTAGCAAAAACTTAGTAGCAAAAGCATCACTATGGGATATGACAGCTGAACTGTATGTCCAAGAAGTCTTCTGGAAAAGTTATAGAAAATCGATTGCAACACCACTGCACCAACATTTATTTAGAATTTTGGACTTCCTGCTGAAAACTGTATTTTTCCCAAATAAAGTTTCAGTACATTTTCAATAGATCTCGTGTTTAATTTATGAACAGTGTTTTGTGTGAAGATCAGAAACAAGGACCTCACCCCAAAAGAAGGAATTTACTTTTCTTTTCCAAACTTCTCAAATCAGTTAATATGAAGAAAGAATAAACATATAAAAATAATTAAGCCACTTGTTGCAATTAATCATTCTACCATTTGTTGCAATTAATAAGCAATTACTTATTCTATAAATGTTGGTGAACTTCATTCATAATATGCTGCAGATACTTTCATGTATTAATGTCATCCGAGGGTATTTAAACTTTCAAGTTTTCATCCAGTAATACTCAGATGGTGTTGTATATACCTTTAGGCATTAAGAATTTAACTATATTAGAGTAACAGTTATTATTTTTATCCATAAGCATAACAGAAGAATACACTATTGAGGTAAAGCATCTGATGGCTTTCTACCAAAGGATTTCTTTGTGCAGAATTTTCTAGGGCTTATATTTATTGGAAACAAGTACAGACGATATGCAGTCAGTTTGATGAACAAATCCTGGAATGAATTATTAGCATTTTAAGACTCGGTTATTAGTTCATCCAAAATATATTAATGAATAATTTACCATAGGTACCCTACAGTAAATTTTGCTACAAGGATAATTATAAAAATAAAGAGAGCTAAAAATGTATGAAAGATATTTTAAACTTTTTTAACAAGTGATTTAATAAATTATATTTGGGTTTTCAAGCAATTTAATGTAATCTGCAGTTGGACAGTTTTTGATAGCATAAAGACAAATGTTTTATTTTAAAATTAAATAAGCAAATAAAATAATTACTTTCCAGTTAGTATACAAAACAGTTAGTCTGTATGTATACTTGGATAAAAATTACATTATTCCCAAATAAATTTTATATAAGAAATGGTATGAATTTATATTACACTATATATAATTACTTAACATTTTCATTTACAAAATTAAATGTATTAATTTACCAGACTGCAAAAAATAATTCTGCCTTCAATCAACTACAAGAAAGAAACAAAAACACACAAAACGAGAAATTCAACAAGAAAATTAAATAAATTAGAAGGAAAATTTAAGCTTTTTTAGTCTTCTGTTTTCCTGGCTTAAACACAAATTATAAAAATACAAGCTTTATTTGTATGACATCTAATAAAAACCATTTCATGATAAACTTTGTGAATACCATTTTCTGCTTCCATTGATTTTATATACATCCAGTATCTGCATAAAACTGATGCTGAACAATTTAAAATTATATATATTTCCTTGATATTTATTTTGAATTTTAAATTTACATTAATAATATATTTACTCAAAAAAGACGAAGAAAGAAGAAAGAAAAAAAAAGGTATATTTTGAAATAATAAGTAAAATTTATCAACTTACACATTATAAATTTTGATATGACAATCATCTGATGCTGTTAGAAGCATCATAGAGTCTTTGGAAAATGTTAAAGAACGTATTGGCATAGCATGACCTAAAAAAGATAATACAAAATATGGTTAAATAAGATAACTGCTATACATAAGCTGACGTTATTGCAATATTTAAAATTAATGCACTTAATTAATCAATAATCAGAAATATACTTAAAACTACAATTACACCCAAATAACATTTGTGGTAATCTAGGAGCAGAATGCTTAAGTTAACAGTCTAAATACTAGATATTTCAATTATTATCCCATTGTGGTAATGCAAACTTCTCAAAGGCTATTATTTCAATCTATGATAGTTTTCCTCCCAAACCCAGTTCTTGACAAAATATTTTTGATCAATGTATTCCAGTAACACTAAAAAGCTGTATCTATTATAAAAATCAAACCTCTTTCAAGCCAATTTCCTACTCACAATCTTTTTGTCTGTTGAACTTCAACATTTCCTTTTCTGACACATAATTTTAATTTACAAAAACTAGAACTTTCTTGATTATTCAGCAATATTCTGTAATTTTGAATAAATGACAGTTTTTGTTTTATTATTTAATACCAGAGACAATTTTAAAAAATAAAAAATATGGAATATACTGAAGTTATTAAAGATTGAAAACAAGGATGGTGAAGGTTATGAACATGATTGCAGTATGAAGACAGGTATTTATTTGCAAAGTTATTACAGTCAAAAGTCGTTAATTCGGACACCCATAATTTGGAATGATCTATAATCCGGACCTCAAAGCTAAAAACTTTCTGCGCATGCTCCGCGTTGACACATGCGCATTAGGCGTTTACGCGTGGGCGTAAGACCTCTTACGACTGCGCATTTGCGTGTGCGCAAGCGCAGAATACGTTTTCGCGTGCGCGTTTATGTATAACGGACGGTGTAAGCTAAAATTATATAATTATCTATTTCAGTTAATGTTGATGATTGCGTTGTTCCTTAATTTTCGAATTGGATCCGGCTTATTATTTTTTGCAGACTGTAAGAGCAATACTAAAAAGTAAACTTGAACTTTCGATTATGTCAAATAGAATTTTTGATTCTGGAGCTCCCAAAGGATCGTACAAAACGAAAGTATGTTTCGATGTCCATCAAACAAAAAGCGGAATTGCTGCAAAAAATGGATAAAGACATGAAGAATGTGACAGAGAGGTTAGTGAAAACGAAAAAATTTCGATTGCCAAGTTAGTCGGTATTCTCGGCACAGCAATTAAAGGGACTTGAACAGCGGAACTTTGTAAGTGAACAAAAAATTATGTCTGTTTATAGAATTAAAGAGAAAGTATTATCACATAAAACGAAACAACTTACATTGAAAGAAATGTTTAATAAAGTAAACAAATAAATATTAAGCTTTTTTTTGCAAATTTTGATACCCTTTAGATCATAATTGTTCCTTATTTCATAAATTACGGTTTCATATTTTTAATTTTAGAATTTCTGCATGCCATCCTACGCGATTTAAACTGATGATCTATAATCCGGAAAAATCGATAATCCGGAATCGCCGAAGTCCCGACGAGTCCGAATTAACGACCTTTGACTGTACCATATTTGGATACCAACTGAACTTCTGCTACGATAATACTTTAAGCACCAGTTAGTTAATAAATGAACGATTATGAAAGGAAATGTCAATTCCAGAATACATTTGAATACATACATCATCTTTGCGGCAACTTTATTGTTTATCAATAAAGCGATGTTTAATTTGAATAACTGACAAATAATAATTTATATATCTTAATATCTTAATTAATAATTTACCTGTTTAATTCAAGTTCTTTTATATCAATTTTTTAATAATTTAAAATTATAGGATCTTCACATATGAAAATCATATATTAATACACAATTCAGACATAACATGATATCTCTTCTCAAGGAATTCTGTTGAAATCTTCAGTCAAAAATTTTCTTCTTGCCCTAGCCTTTTTGTTTTGATATTAATTGATAACTGCAGTGAATCACAGAGTATTTCTCTTAACATGATATTTATAGTTAAATTACAAGATTAAGGAAATTTATTCAAAAAAACAGTCAATTAGAATTAAATTTTATTGTTGCTGATAAGTAAATTTCAAACACACACACATTAACATTAATTCAAAAATGAAAATGAAGATTAATTTCCTTGATGCACTTGAATGATATGCAAAGCTTGGAAATAAATCATGCCACAGATCATGATGAACTGCTTCTACAAAATTAGCAAAAAGATTTTACATGCAAAAATAATGAAGAATCAATAATTAATCAAGAAAGAATTAAGAATAATTCTGAAATCACATCAAAACAGCCTGCAAAGTTGTCAGTTCCACAATACCAGCCTAACATCAGCCCAAAATCTTATTTAAATTCTGCTAATGAAGTTATTACTTGTAGGAATTGACTATTATTGAAAATACTAAGCAAGCTTACATGTATTGAATCATCTTATTAAAAAGAAGAAGGGGGAGAATGAAACAAACAAATTATACATAAGCTTATGCCAACTATTTTAGAGAAAATAAGATGATTTGTGGAACACAACATTACAGATTAGAAAAATAAAAAGAAGCACATGAAACTGTGTAATTATTTTTAAATGACTGTTTTTCCCATAATTTTTTGAAATGAACATGCTGAAAAACTTCTATACAAATTACATGAAAATATAATAATAATAACCAAGATTGATTTCTGCAAAATATACAACTTTAAATGAAACTGGATAATTTGAATATTCCTGCATTATCCTTTGAATTCCAATTAACTATGCATTTACAATAGCTGGAGATTTTATAGCAGCAATTATTTATTTACAGCTCATACAAATGATATAAAACAGATTTCCTTTGAAGCTTTTGTGATCTTTATAAAGCCAACTTATGAGCAATTTAATGCCAGCAATGTGTAAACACTAATCTGTAACAGTTTAATCATCACAGCATACCTACCAATAGATGCAGTTGATGACTCGTAAGGAGCAGTCTGCTGCCTAATAAACCTCTGGACAATTCATAAATTAATGCCAAAAGTGGTAGTTTCATCTTATGCATTAAATCATAGACATAAGGAAGAAGATTTCCTAAACTAATTGAGTGAACAGATCAAAACACAGGTTCTGCTACATATGCCAATCATCATCTTGCAAAATGGTGAAAGGATTTTGTAGAATGTGCAGTTTCTTTCATAATGCTTCTCAGGTTTTCTTTAAAAAATGAGCAATAACACCATATACTAATGATCTGTCCTTGGAGTATAATATGCATAGAACATTATGTTAATGCTGTCGTTACAGCTGTATACAAGAATCATCATTACCTTCACACTGTTGGGGTTCTGATGGAACTTTTGATTTTTATGGTAATCTATAAGAGAAAGGTCATTAAAATCTGATCATACAAACTAAAACTAAAATGCTACATGGTTCATTTGCACTTCAGGTTTGGCTGAAATAATCTGCTCATTATCTTGTCATGTACTATGATATAGTGTAAGAAAACGTTTCCTTTATACTCCTAACACTCTAAATCAGGATTCGCACACATTTCTGAACATGGAAATTAAGTACTTTTAAGGACCATTAATGAGAAAAATTAAGGACCTATGAGCAAACGGGAAGTGAATAATTTTAGTTAAAAATATTATCTACGCCTGAATTTCACTTTTGTAATACCACCCTAAAAATAAAATAGATCCCTAAGTAGGCTGAATAATTATTAAACATAAATTAATTAGCATAATTATTAATAAATTTGAGAATAAATAAACTTTATGAAATTTATCAAATAGCATTAAATATTTTACACTTATAATAGTTGGGCATGCTTGAAAGAAGATAAGTGACATTTTATTTTCGTTTTACTAATAGTTAACTTTTTAGTTTACTAACAGTTTCATTTTACTAACAGTTCACATAATTTCTCAGTATGTCAAGCGACGTAGGTTAAAATGCGAAGTAAAACAAAACCAGCATGATTCGCAACAAAAGACTGGCTTCTGTCACTGCTATTTTCAGAACAAACCTGACAGGCCTGATGTAGGTACGGTTGGGGAGGGGAGTTTTGAAAGTTATTTGGGCTCTGTCTGATGCAGTTAGTGTCGTAGCTTTGTGTAGAATTTCAGGGCTTGTAATCCAGTTAATACTTTAAGGTTCAAATAAGCAACTAAAGCACCGGAGGTGATGAAATGTTTTGCATTATTTTAAGTCTCACTAAATACAAAGAATAAGTTTTACATGAATTCTTACAATTTTGTGTTTTATCTTGTGACCACGGTAAGGATTAATGAAAGGCAATAACTCGCTTTAATATGCATAGATAATTTTAAAGGTAAGTAGTCAGTCATAAGTAATTAAATTAGGCAGTTAGATAACCTTAGTCATTACAGATTTACATGGCCACTATTAAATTTTATTCATTTTTTAACAATATTTGTTAAAAAAACACTATTAAAATCACAATCTAATAAAATTTTAGAGTTTAAAATACATGCAATTTATGACATTGATTCCTAAACGATATTAGGATAATTACACATTTGAAGTTACAAAACATTTATGTTTTGTAGCAACAAAATATTTACACGTCTTTTTAATTTGAAGCCATTCCAGACATTTTGGCTTTTTATTTATATCTATTTCCTTTTCTTTAGGCACCTTTTCTAAGAATCACTGGTCTCAATTACTCAAAGCAATGTTCTCACTAGTTTCTATGTGCTTTATCTCCTAACTTGTCAACCTCTCCACAATGTACTTATGAAGGTTTACTTGATCCCGTAAGAGTCTAAAACTCCCTGACAGACATGAAGCAAATTATCGCATGCCTAAAAGTAACTTAAAGCATCAGACAAAGGTTTAAATAAGCCTCTTATTTAAAAAGAACTTAGAAAATAAAGGCATGTTACAGTTTGTGGCTAACAAAATCAGTTACAGTTCATGGTGATGTAATTAAAGAAGAACAGTGTTCGAACTAAAATTGTGGACTAGTGGCCAAGGCTATACAATTTAATTTTAATTTAAGCTGGCTTAGTGACTCTATCGTCATAACAAATTCTAATGCCTGCATCGATAATGCAAAGACCAATAATTACAAATTATCAGAGCTGGCAGGAACTGGCGCAGCGAGCACGCGGAGGTCAGAAACACACTCTGTCTTACACTCCAAAAACCTCAGTTTAAAAACTAAGTAATTAGCATTCTGGTGAGGAAATAGAAATGGGTAATTATAGCAAAGGCTGAAATTATAAACAACTGTGTAATTTACATAATAATAACTGTACGTATCTTTGAAGAATAATTTTCTTTCCCTTTGTATTTTCAGTTTCTTTCTTCAACACGTTTTCTTTTCATTTTAGAATTTTTGGATTTAATTAAAAATTTATGTTATTCTAAAAAAAACTAAATGCATTTAGAATGCATAGAAAAAGCTGCTAATTTGGTTTCTTTAGTAATATGAACATTCAGAAGAAATATGAAATTATGATAAGGGCCGGCTACAGAGCTGGTATGTGAGAATTTTTTAATTTAGTGACACACTGAGCAACAAAATCTAGAAATGGGAAAACATATTAGATGGGAAGACATATTAGATGAATCTTAAATTGTCAGTTTTCAATTTCTTTATTAATAAAAAAATTCCTTTCTATTATGCCCGTCCAAGTGATAAGTTTAGATGCATTCTTGACATAGGTTATTTAATTACGGCAAAGCCTCGAGGGCTATCTGCCTAAGGGGAGGAATGCCTTCGTGGAGGACTTTCTAAGGGAAACTGGCTCATATACACGTTACACATGGGGAAAATCATGAAAACACCCATGCAGCCAGCCCGTTCGCGGGATTCAAACCTCGGACCGAACTACCAGTGTTCAGCAACTTTACCGCTCGGCCGCTGGTGGGCCTACATTCTTGACATTTTTCATGCTTGTATCTAATGAAAAGTAGAGAAAATAAAGGGAATATAAACATGTTAAGAAAAAGATTCTAGTATCAGAAGTAAAACATTCAAATATTATGTTCTCGTTATTATTCCAGATGTTCTCCAAAAAGTAAGAAATTCATCACAAACTTTCTGTAAAATACATCCATTACGTGTTAATATCATGAAGACATTTTTTATTTTGTCACATTTTTCTGGAATCTGCTAGAATTGTGGGTCTATAAATCTTCCTAAATAGTGCCTTCAAATCCTTCTAAACTTTCCTAGCTGCAATGCCTAAAATCCTAAAGAAAAATTACCCCTACCAATTCTGTAACAGCAAAAAGAAATATTTTGGGGAAAAAAACAGAGGTAAAAAAGGAAAAAAATTAATTTAGAGAGAAAAAGTGATACATATTCTCAGAATTCTGAGTATTCTGAGACAATTGCATGCGAAAAACTCTTACTATGTAAAAATTAAAAAGAAGACATTGTAGAGATATTAGGTTTATTTCGAAGCAGGTAAGATTAAAAATGAGTAAACATCTTCGCCGGGAATCGAACTGCGGACCTCTGAAATACGTGCCCAGTGTGCAGACCATCACACTACGAAGGCATGCCAAGAAGGCAGGAGAAATACCTTATATACTCTCCCTTAAAGGGCGATTAGGGTTTTTAGGGGGCCCAATCGCCAAATCCTGGGTGAGGAGAAACAGCATCCAACACCCTTTTAATTTGGCCGCCACTGTAGAGACATTGGGTTTATTTCGAAGCAGGCAAGAGATGAAAAATGAGCAAACGCTTTCGCCGGGAATCAAACCACGGACCTCTGGAATACGCGCCCAGTGTGCAGACCGCTATACCACGAAGGCATGCAAAGAAGGCGGGAGAAATACCTTATAACATTTTTAATTAATTACATAATTTTCCATTTGCTAAGAACTGTTTCATAAATTATGCATAGCATTATAGCCTGTTTATTTTTCAGATTCAAAATATTATATATTAAGTAGTAAAAATGGAACTTTATACAACATGACTATGAAAAATGTTTTACTTTAATGTTATTTTTTAAACAAAATTTCAATATATTACCATTATCGTAAAGAAATTTATCAGTGATACAATGTTTTAAAAAAATTCGTCGAAAAATTCCCAGAATAAAAATTTTCTATAAAACCTGATCTTAAAATCACCAAAATGTTCATAAGTCATTAAACATGGAACAATTTAATAAAAGAATTCACATCCCTAAAAGCGAAAATTTGTTTAAGAGCTCTTCATTAGAAAAAATGAAATGATTTCAAAATATTTATGTTTTACTTCTTGCTCAGAAATTCGAGTATCCCACTATTTATATTTTAAATAGGAACAAATTATAACCCATTAACCCATTCGAAAGACAAGCCTTATTTGTCAGTTTCTACAAAATGCTACCAGTGTTCACTCTCAAAATGGCAATCGCAAAAACAGATCTAATGATTCACTCTCAAAATGGCAATCGTAAAAACAGATCTAATGATTCACTCTCAAAATGGCAATCGTAAAAACAGATCTAATGATTCACTCTCAAAATGGCAATCGTAAAAACAGACAGAAATTTCAGACGATTAAAATTAAGGACCTTCTGCCAATTTTGGCTGATATTAAGGACTTTTAAGGACCAAAAATCGATTCCCCCAAACCTACGCACTTTTAAGGACTCTTAAGACCGTAAGAACCCTGCAAATGGATTTGAGCAGCACTGTATTGCAGCCATTTCTACATTTCCATCAAACAGACAGACTTCAGGGAGTCAAAATCCTGGAACTTGTCTTGGAACTCTTAGATATCAGTTATTATTTCATGAAACATACTAAAATTTCTGTCATTTTCTTCTGCTGCTTTCAACTGGCCTTCAGCGCAATTTGCATTACAGCCTCCGTTTCTTAAAAATTTTTCTTGATACTCATGTCTAATGTTTTCTTTTTTGGGAAAGCAAGAATTTCAAACCATAAACTGTTGCAGGTGATTTCCAGTACTTAGCCAGCACATTTCACAGTACAATGAAATGTCACCATACTCAGCTTTGTCCAAGAATAAAATAAATGCTATGGGGCTTTATTATTGCACTTATTAAATTTACAGTACTTACAATAGTTTCCATTGTCTTACTGAGCTTTATAATTGTTTCACAAACAGCCTTCTGGTGGATAATGCAGTTGGAAAGCAAAGAATGTATGTCTTTTGCTTCGCACAATCCTATTAACACAGTTCTATGATTAACCACTGCTTGAGCTCTTTTGTTGCAATGCCACAGTAGTTCTAAAAACTTCATCTTTAAAAATATGAGCCAGTGCATTCAATATGTCAATACCTTTGGTGCTGGTTTCTAATGATTTTAATTCCAAATGCTTTTCGTGAGTTTCAAATTCTTTGTTTATTGTTCTGACAAACATAAAGAGCTGGTCAAT